TTCTTGGATGAGGATTTCCGAAAAGGCGTACTTGATGATTAGACACATCTTTCATATGCCTCAGTGCCAAAAAGAGTTCACCATAATTCGCTATTTGTACAAATGAACTAGTTTCTTAATTGAATCTTACCTTCTACGCATTCATCAAAATTCAGCAATCCAAATCACGGCGCGAATAAACAGCATGATATAGCAAGATATNAGACAAGAGCAGCCAAAATAAGACTAAAGATTTTGAAATCCATTTAAAGCATATTAGGCCACATAGTTCACATAAGTCTTATTGGATAGGGATCTCCGAAAAAGAGTACTTGATGGTTAGATACGTCTTTCATATGCCTCATTGCCAAAAAGAGTTCACCATAATTCGCAATTTGTACAAATGAACTACTTTCAAAATTGAATTTTACCTTCTATGTCTTCATCAAAATTCAGCAATCCAAACCACGGCGCGAATAAGCAGGATGATATAGCAAGATATAGAGAAATTCCAAAGAGATCTCAAAGTAAATGGAGTCTGTTTACTATGTTACTAGGAGAAACTCACATTTTCTTCGTGGAGGAACGATGCAAATTTGTGTTAAAATGCACCATTATCTGGAGGACTCTGCTGCACCGATGAAATCCTCACGAGCATACAGTGACTATCTCGACACTTTCGCAGAGCTGACAGACCGAGAAGATATGCACAGTTCTGTTTTCCAGCGTAGCAGCATGCATTTAACCAAAACAGTGTTATTGGAACTTGTAGTCTCCCAGTCATCCCCGCAGTTACTCGACAAATTAACCTTCCAAAATATCCTCAAATATCAGTTCTCATGTGCTACCTGTAAAATTTGGATAGATACGTTTTTACAAAAGCTGACAGTCAAAAGCCATTTCTGCCCGACGGGAAATTAAAATATACCCAACTTCCTGATGGTAGAATTTTACAGCATAGCTAAAAGTAAATGGGATCATTCTTGGTTCGTTTTTCTAATGGATTATGTACTTCCATATGAAGTGCTTCATTCTAATAGTGACCCGAAGTGCCTGCAATGATCACGCTAATAGTACCTCTCGTGACCCAGAGGTTCAGGAAATCCTTCAACCTAGGAGGCGTAGCACCGACACCGGTGGCGAACAAGAGGTGTCTCTTGAGGGAAGCATCTTTTCAGAAGAGTTAGGAGTACATTGTCACCTGCCAATCTCCAAAAAGCAGCAAAACTGGAAATGTTTCTGGACCTGTCCAACGGAGCTACCGAGTCTCGGTAAATGCAAGCGGTAGGAGATGTTTTGCAAGGGTATTCCAATCACGTTGTTTGAGGTGATCTGAAAAGATGCACGTATTCCAGTAACTTGACCAAATTTAAGGGAAACACAAATAGCAGTATGAAAACAAGAAACGTGATTTAGTCAATGGTGGAAATGCTTTTTTACGGAAAATCTACTCATCGATATTGTATCGCTTAGATGCAGAGTGAATACTACCGACGATATATCAATGCTCTATGAACACGTGAACAACCCCGCCAATTCCGAACCCCAAACAATGCTGAAATGACGAGACGATCTTGAGAACGGGCAGTAATGATTATAATGCAATAAGATCGGACAGCAATAGGCACACGCCACGACACAGTTTCCAGACAACCAATCAGGAGGCCGATATTCCCAATGATCTGGTGGAATCCGGTAAATACAATCGAATTGAGTGAGGAATAAGGACTGCAGAGCAAACGAACGGAACATAGATACTAATCTGACAAAATGAGTATATCAAGGGGTGAACGATATTCGTGATCTCGGAGTCCATAATCACCATGAGAAGCCAAAGCAAGTATATATGTACCACGTTCTATTATCATTAGATAGTTGGAAAAGAGCAGACGAGAAAAAGTCAAAATTTCACACAACGACTTTCTGTGGCGCTGAGGTAATTTTAGTGGATCGTTCTCACAAATAAAAAAAAACATTTCTGGGGAAAAATGTAAATCACAATCTTGGAGTAGTCCTCGTTCTTTATAGAAAATACATACGTCTGCTGGGTAATTGTTATTACCTGTCTACGTCATCAACTAACCTGTTTGCACACATATACTATCTAATCACATTTTGTACTGGTCAGTTAGTGCTAATCGCTCTACACTATGCCCGATGATTGAAAGAGAAATTCGCGTAAGTGAGCTATGGTTCATTTTGAGTTAAATGACTTACTGAATCGGTATCACTCTTTTCAGTGTGTGTATTTCCAGAGATATTGGACACAGCAAGAGAGAGGTGGGCTGATTCGGGTGCAGGGTAAAACGTTATCTTTATTTGTCTAAATCGTGCAATTGTCGTTAGTGCAAAGGTCAGTCAAGTGTTATGCAATCAGTCCTAGCTACGAGTATGATTTATTGACTGTATCAATATTTGTGCAAAGCAATTCCACTGTATCCAATAAACGAACTCATGTACGATTTATGACATCATAATCCCAAGGATAGTTTTGCTGTACATTTGGAGAAATTGTTTGCTGTAACCGATCGCAGTCACATAATGTTTTGGAGCAAATTAACGAATCCCGTACAGGTAAAGTAAACAATTAAGTGACCGAAAACGTTTTCCTCGGTTGATAGCAACCGATCATTCATTCAATTGATTTGATACCACTGTTAGATTATTCATGCGTCTAAGTTATTTTCACCTGTATTAGTTTGTATTTGGATGCATGTCTTAGGTCCGTTAGGGGATTCCCTTTTTGTATAGAGAACATGCTACCATGACACCGTTGAAATGTTTAAAGAGATATATCCAAAATGTCATCAATGTGCGTGTATCTCGATGGATTTTGAAATCTCTGATTTATCACCTAACCAAATATGTCACATTGAAGTGCGTCCTTTCATGGGCAACTGATTTGTATGTGCATGGAAAATAAATCAGGAACGAAATCAACACAGTGTCTGCAGACGAAAGCAACATAAAAAGCAATGGATAGCCGTAATTAATTTCCGAATGGGTAACCGAAGAAAAAGTGGTACTCTATTCTGCTGGTTATTCCACTGCTCGCAAACATGAAAACCATTGGAGATGTAGCTTAATAAACTATGCCTTGAAAACGAGAACATGTGCATTTTGGAATATGTTAAGATAATGATAGATGGAATGATCAATGTGTACAATGGTGTTCCTCGGAGAGCGTGTTTTGTGCTGTACACCGATGAAAACACACAAGTTTCATAATAGTAAGAAACCAAGGAGGGTGCGGCTTGGCTATTTGTTGTTATTTCAAACACGATTCACCTTATTAATCTTAAAGTTGCACATTACAAGGCTGTAATTGAAACAGAAGCAGAGAGGAATTTCTCGATTATAAACTGTTGAATATCAAATAAATTAGAAATTCAAATCAGTGCCTGCTGATGGCGCTGACGGTTTCGGACCAATTGTGATAACATAATGAGTGGAATGAATTGTGGACTGTCGCGCAAGTTTGTTCAATCTACTTTATGCTTTGGAATTTCGATTTATTCTATTCAACAATTTAATTTTCACTGATACGATATGCGCCAAACATCTCACGTCAAACGGTGTTGGTGTGAATTGAACATGCATCTTCTGGCGACTGATCTTTCACTCTCGACGACCGCTAGCCTGAATGGATCTTGATTATTATATTGCTGAACAGTTACTTGCATCCGTTACAGAAACGTGTACTTCGTTTCATTTTGAATTTTTACTTTAGCAGACGCCGGTTTTGCAGTTAAACAACTACATGCTGCTCTCACTGGTTGAACACATTTCAAATTTACTACCTTCTATCGTCGAATAACTTGCTGTCTTATTCACGTTGAATCTGACTAATCCGATTTGGAGGCCACATTGGATAACTAGCTGGTTCCTTTCGCCGCAATTGCTATCGTCTAAACTTGGAATCGAGAACAGGATTGAAAGGTACCGTTCGTTTCCCGTTAGCTGAAGCGCTTTTCCATATTAATTAAATATGTCGATTGATATACATGGAAAACACCTCAGTAAGCATGCGTTTATTTATATGTAACAAAAATACATTTAGTGAATGATAGTTTATTACATCACTGAACTTATCCGTCACGTTGTCCAGGTACTTTGAGTTCTACGTGACCATTGCATGTGTTACGTTTCTGCAAAATCACAATCGAATTGTTTCATTACTCGTGTTGATCATATAAAATAACCACTTGAAGAAATTCATAGAACATAGAACAAATTGCATTACGCGGATTACATGAACGAACTGTTTGAAGCGAAGTCATCATACAAACCTAAAAACAAATTGCAATACGCAACTCACTATGTACTGTCATTGATAAGAAGTGCAACGAGCCCAAGAATAAGGAATACTGGAGGATTGGACGCTGATACACTGTCTGGAATCGAGCAGAATAGGAAATAAGTGAATATGAATAGGTTTTCAAAAAGAACAGCAAAACAAAATAAATTACATTAAAGTATACTCACAACAGTTGCTTGTCTTAAGAAACAAGTGACATGTACAAGGCAGTCGCTGCTCTCTGATACTCACCTAATATATAGTACAGAATAACGTCGTTAGATCCATCGGTCTGCGAATTAGCCCTGGCTTTCCTCACGAGCGCAGGAATGAGAGCAACTGCGTCTTCATTTGATTTTTTACCTTGGTGATTACTTTCTCCTTGCTCATCTGGTTGTACATCAGTTCCCGATGCTTGGTTTTGTTGACTACCTGCCGCTGGTTTTTGTGGATCTCGCGATTGGTCATTTTGATCATTATCCCCTGGTGGTTTGGGATTTGGTGAATCTGCAGGTGTTGTGTTCGGTTCAGTTGCTGCATCGGGTGCTGCTGTCGTTGGTGCCTCCGAAGTAGTCGTATCGGAATCCGCACTCACTTCAATCGGTGAGCTAGACGAAAACTGGTTTGTTGCACCTGACGGACAGAGCGTCTCGTACTTCCCCTCACTAGAAACCTTCACACATTTCGTTCCACTCGTTGTCTGTGAGCAAATGAATGAATCCGAAAACATATATCCCACTGTCCATGTTTACTGTCCCAAAATCGACTTAGGTATTTCTGTTCACTTACATTAACGTAGACCTTCACCGCTTGACCGGAATCCGAAATGACACGGTACTGACAACCGGTGCCACTGCCCAATACAGTGACCTTCTGTACTTCATTCGATGCGACAACTTCTTTACAACTCTGTGCATCTTTTGTTGGTAATGTAAAATAATTTTCTCCAACAACGGGTGACTTACCAACGATCCCGTTAACACACACAGTAATCAGCAATATTCGCACGATATTTGATTTCATCTTTGAGTTGTTATTTGCTGCTAACTGCTGGCTTATATATTGTTTTCCACATGCATCTTCCGGAAGGATATCGATGATTGGTAACTTGTTGCATATATTCACGTGACTGTTATGTAGCTTCGTGCCAACATGCGATCCTCCCTCTTCGGTGCCATTATCCCTGAGGAGTGAAATTGCACAGTTTCCTGACAGTAGCTTAAATTAGTATACTTTTGCGTCACGTTATATTCTGAGGCATACTTCATTGATTTATTTTAGTAGATGAATAGTTGCTGATGATTGTGCGAAACATTGCGGCTGTGGAGAATCAGTAAAATGTGGTGAGTAGGACACTGCTTTCATCGTATATAAATGCGGTCTAATATTTATGTGGTTTGTTCTCATTTATGAATTCCCTGTCGCTGCTATTTGAATTTACACTTCTTTCATTTCAGTCGATGATGAAGTTGCTTTTTCAAAGCAAATGATGCACATACTAGAGAAGAACATTCGAATAAAGTATTCTTTTTACCTTGAGCCAGCAAAATATTATCAGTCCACTGTTCTCCGAAGCGTTTCTCAAGTGGAACAATTTGTTTTATCATTTTATCCCTCCAGGTTCTCTGTTTGTTTCGTATCGCAACACATCGCCATTCTCAGCGTTCTGAACGAATGACTTTGATACACGCTGACTTCGTATAGGCGGTTCTAATGTGAGTACTGGTAATTTTAGTGGCTGTACCCGAGAAAGATGATAAAACAATTGGCATGGTGAGCGCTTTCATGTGTAATCATCGGATTACCTGAAAACCAGTGAGATAATTCAACGGGGTAGGTTTAACTGCAGAACATCATTGAATAACTACTGTCTATAGAATGAAACTATTTGCAGTGGAAATTTCCTGTCCTAAAGAGTTACACGATGAAAGATGTGCTTTCTTGTGTTCAAAACAACAGGCTGATGTGACAGTTCACTGCCTGGAGGAGCGGATTTTTTTCCAACGCTCCATTCCCGTGGGCACAATGAAACCGAATCGTCATTTCATCTTCCTCATCATCAAAGATACTATCTTGCTAGAAACAGTTAGGATTCTACGGAATAATGAGAACATCATTTGAGTGGATGACAGAATTCTTGCTAAACCTTTGTGTCAGGGTAGAATAAAAATTGAAATTCGCTTTCACTTTGATAGTCGTGCGCCTAAATTGTCGGTCTGAAATCAGATTCACTGTCTGCTGTTCATCAATGATATAACCGATATAAATAATTCAACGTGCCAAAACTTAGCTGATGATGTACAATGATTTGATCTAGTAGACGAATAGACCCAGAATATGACATCGAGTATATGGTCAATTTATCTTATACAGCGAACAGCTATTTAGTCTCCAAAGCCCATAACTCACACAATGGAGCTCATCCAAAAATAGACTTCACGCTGGAAACGGAATCAACATATGGTTTCACATTTCTCGACGTGTTGTTGTTTCGACAATCGAATGGCTGAATTCATATAAGCATCCACCGTAAGAAAACATGAACGAGGCAGTACACACACTAAAATAGCTTTGTCCCATTACAGCAGAAGAGAAATTCGATTCGCTTCTTAATTAATAGAGTTAGGAAACTTTGTTCTTTGGAGTCTGTGGAGTTTAAACTGGGAAGAACACGAAATGTTTCTCTAGAGAATGGATATCCTTAGTCATTCATTCATAAAAGCATGACATCATATTCCTCGAAAACAGTATGTGACACAGCAAATAAGAAGCGTTTCTATCTCTCCATCCCCTTCAAGGGAGAAACGATCGTAAAAGTATTGAGTGGACTGGATGACCTCGGTTACTTGGTGGATAAGACAACTGATGATCCGCAGGAACTAGAGGAGAAAATCTGTATGGAACTGTAAACCGTGATGCAAGCAAGACTGATTCGAGAAACTGGGGTGAAATGTGTACCAACGAGAGGGAGCCAAACGCAACAGATTTAAGGTTTGCCAAAGCTACATAAAGAAGACATTCCACTGTGATCCATTACGTCCACGTGCAACTCAACACAACCCAAATAGTCAAATGATATGCATAAGCTCTATACGCGGTGCGAGACTCCATATACCACTACAATGTGAAAGACCGTTTTCAGCTGTGCGCACTATTCAAATACAGATACATTCAAAACAAACACATGGTCGTAATGGCTGTAAACGCACGTCTCATCAGCGTCATTTTACTGCAGAGAAAAAAGATTATCCGTCGTACAAGAGAAGGAAAACACATTCACGTTAGGTTACCAGCTAATGAGCTGGAACAGCTTATGTTGTGGTGTAACTGTAATATGAAGTTCTCCTTATTAGGCCAGCGACATCCACAGATGGTTTCCTTATGATCAGTCCACTGAGGCCCATTATTCACGCTATTTTCGGCGGACTTATGAAACAATAATGTCGGGACTAATTCGAAAAGCTAGATCTATATAACCGATGCGTCGATAATATATTCAACATCTGTGATGCAAAGAAAGACCGGGAGAGATTAGTTGAACGCTTGAATAATCGTCACTTGAAAATAGCAGTGACACTTCACAATGAAACTTAAGTAAACATCATTATTCTGGATGTGGAATTTTCACGTCGTTCGGATGGACCAATCAGGAAATTCGCTAACCGAAAAGATGCATGCTCCGAAAATTATCTCCATTTCACTGACTTTGTTCAAATGGGATATAATTTTAGTCCAGTTTTTACGCTCTTCTATAGCGCGAGAGAAATTTGCTCAGCGGATACCCGCAATAACCAATATGGCAAGATTAAAAACGTTTTACAGTCTAACGGATATCCGGAAAATTTCGTCTGAAAGCACTCCCAAATCAACTGTATACGAGAAAAAATACCAGGTGGAAATGCATCTGCCCGTCAAGATTTATGTAACAGCTGGTTATTTATCAAACTTTTAAAATAGGCCGTTGGTCACAAAAACAACTCAGTTGACATAACCCTTGACTTTACAACCGTGTTTCAATACCTTCGGTGAAGGAACGCTGCCCTCTACGCCAAATCTGAATATATATATATATATATTTATCTGTACATATATATATATATATACACTCAAGTGTAGACCCTCGGTCATCTACATCGACAGGACAGAGAGACAACTGAATTACCGAGTAACCGAGCTCGCCCCGATCTGGCTTCGGAAAACAGTGACTGGGAACTTCGGAAGGGGACATCGCCGATGACCTGTAAGCGACTAAGTTCGTCGATCACACAACGCCAGACCAAAATGAAACCCCTTGTCATGCTGCTCGACGCGTTCTAAATCCGCTATAACATAAACAACGCTAGGGTTCTGCTATACGCCGAGGCACTAGACTTTCATAATTGCCATCCGAAACTGTGTGAACAGCGTGGATATCTTATCACTCTGGTAACAATTTTTTTGGCGAGAAATTTTGACCGGACGTTTTCTCCGCCTACATTTCTGTTGTTCACTGACCACATATCAATGATCACAAAAGCTGCAGTATGCACGATCACATATGCATTGAACTGACCAAGGATACATTATGAAAACCTATGATTTTGGCTTCTCTAATAAATTTCGCTTCTGGGCAACTATTATTCCGATTTCTCAGTTTAGGTCATGTTCCAGATTCGACACAAACTCACCTTACTGCAGCACCTACGGACAGACGAAGGAACACAACAATGCTCACTC